GCGTGTTCCTGGACTCGGGTGCTGAGGCGTCATTCGTGACTGCAGCGTTGGTGTCAGCAATCGATGCAGAACACGTTGGGGTTGAAAATGTAGAGGTGAAGCCGTTCGGCGCGGGACCAACCCAACAGCGCATGGATAAGTACGCCATCACGATCCAGGGTAGCTCCGCTAGCATTCGGGTACGCGCGTTCGTGAAACCAACGCTTGAGCTGGACCTGAAGTGCGCAAGTCCGCAGACCATTGCGCAGTGGCACAGTTGGGGAGTAGAGCTGAGTGACAAGCCTCAACAAGGGACATCAGACGAAATACATATGCTGATTGGTGCAGACTATATCAACGCGGTACTGCACAGCAAGAAGGAAGTTAATGGTGAGACGGTGTGGAACACAGAGATAGGTAATGTATTATCTGGTCCAGCGTCTGCACCAAGTCGAAACAGTCAGCCGGTGACCGTGTCATGTGTCACAGCCCACATCGACAAACTATGGCAGTTGGATGAACCTCCAGAACAACATCAGCACCTGCCATCTTTCCCGCTATGTCGCCAGGGTAGCGGGTACCAAGTGGGTCTCTTGTGGCGAAATGAGCGTCGGCCAACGGATAACTTTGCTCAAGCTAGAGTCATCGCAACGCGGCTTCTTGAAAAGCTGAAGAGGAATGGGAAGCGTGCGCTCTATGATGATGTGCTGATCAGGGAGTACCGCGAGCTTGGAGCAATTGAGCTGGAGCCATGTGAGAGCGATGCCGGGTACTATGTACCGCATCATGGTGTGTTCCGCGAGCACGCTGCAACCACGAAGTTAAGAGTGGTGTTCAATGCCTCGGCGACGGCGCCAGATGGCAAGTCGTTGAACGACATGGTTGACCCTGGACCGTCGCTATTGCCGAGTCTCGCAGGTATGCTATTACGGTTCCGTGAATATAAGAGCGCGCTGCAAGCGGACATCCGCAAGGCTTTCTTCATGGTCGCGGTTAATCCCGAAGACCGTCCGTACCTGCGTTTCTTGTGGCCCGGTCGAAGCGACAGCGATGAACTGTTAACCTGGAGGCTAACGAAACTGCCATTTGGCGTAAACTGCTCGCCATACATGCTTACTGCGGTGATTCAGCATCACTTGAAGGAGCTACGGGCGTTGTCTGCACCCAAAGAGCGAGATCGTATTGATCTCTTGCTCACGAGTTTCTACGTTGACGATTTGGTCTCTAGTGTCGCAAATGCCTCGGAAGCTAAGGAGATGCAAGAGTTCAGCGTGCGTGTGCTTACGGATGCTGGCATGGAGTTACGCAAGTGGCGAGGCAACGAAATCCCGTGCGATCCAGAGGCCGGAGATAAAGTTCTCGGTCTGAAATGGGAAACCAGTGATGACTTGCTCAGCATAGCAGCGCTAGGCGAGTCCGATAGGCCGTCTGTTTGGACCCGGCGATCCCTCCTCAAGTGTGTTGCGTCAGTGTTTGATCCGCTAGGTCTAGCAGCACCGGCAGTTGTGCCCGGAAAGATACTGCTACAGCAAGCCTGGAAAGTCGGAGGCGACTGGGATGATAAGTTGCCTGATGGCATCGCAGCCGCATGCGCGCAATGGTGGGGAGAGTTGGCCGAAGTGGTGAGCATTGACATACCACGTTGGATTTGCTGCAATCTTGACACGCCGATTGCGCTTCATGCCTTCGCCGATGCCAGTGAGAAAGCGTTCGGATGTTGTTTGTATGCAGTCGTCAATGGACAGTCGCACTTGGTATTTGCCAAGGCCAAAGTGGTACCCGTGTCTCCACCCACGTTAGCCCGCCTTGAGTTACAAGCAGTATGTCTAGCGGCTCGCTACGCTGAGTTTGTGGTGAAGGAGCTGCGTGTGACCGTAACGCAAGTCTACGGCTGGACTGACAGTCTCACTACCGTTCATTGGATCAGTAATCCATCGTACAAATGGAAAACATTTGTGGCTAACCGCGTCAGTCAAGTCCAAGAGATATCGAAGAAGGTCGGCATTGTGTGGAACCATTGCCCAGGCCTTCACAACCCAGCAGATTTACCGTCGCGTGGGAGTAGTGCACAGCAGATCCGTAGTCCGTTCTGGAGGGGCGGACCAACCTGGATCACGGAGCCCAATGACTGGCCCACCGCATCCTCAACCGCAGCTACAGATGAGTCCAGTGTAGAAGTACGAGTGTCAGCCACCACCTGTAGTCGAGAATCTGATAAGGAATGGTGGCTCCGATTCAGTAAATGGTCGAGGGCACAGGGCATGGTGACTCGGATGTTGCAGTGGAAGCACACTGAGCCTCGTGCTGAACTCTATTTTGCAGCAGACAACGTATTGTACCGCATCGTTCAAGCCGCATGTTTCGCTGAGGATCTTGAGCTGATCAAGCAAGGTCAGCCAGTGAAGCCTGGGTCGAAGGTGTATCAGCTTGCACCGTTTCTGGATGAGCATGGAGTGCTCAGAGCCGGGGGACGACTTCAGCACAGCGAGTTGGCGTATGGAGCCAAGCACCCAGTCCTGTTAGGCAAACATCATCTGACCGAGTTGCTGTTGGAGAAAATGCATGTTGAAAGGATGCACCAAGGTGTAGAAGGAGTCTTGTCGTTCATCCGTCAGAAATTCTGGATTATCGGTGGTCGACGGGCGCTACGCAACATTACTCAGCGATGTGTTACATGCCGCCGCTACAAGGCTAAGGCTGCCTCAGAAGTCTGCCCGCCGCTGCCGGAAGACCGAGTTGTTCACGAGAGGCCGTTCGCAACTACCGGCATCGACTATGCTGGTCCGTTGTACGTGCGCCGTGGTGAGTCATCTCCGAAGGTATGGATAGCATTATTTGTGTGTGCCACCACCAGAGCAGTTCACTTGGAGGTGGTCGATAGTTTAAGTACTGAGTCATTCTTGATAGCATTTCGGAAGTTTGTCGCGAGACGTAGTTTGCCGTCTCGGATCAGGTCTGACAACGCTACAACGTTCAAGGCGGCATCTGAGAAACTGAGTGTGCCATGGATGTTCAATCCTCCAGCTGCACCATGGCATGGAGGCTTCTATGAGAGAATGGTTGGCACAGTGAAGAGTGCCTTGAAAAAGGTAATGGGAACAGCGTTTCTGAAGGTCCAGGAGCTTGAGACCCTCTTGTATGAGGTTGAAGCAGTGGTGAATAGTCGTCCGCTAACTTATGTGTCTGATAGCCTGGATGAGCCACCAGTAACCCCTGCAATGATGATGGGTGACATCTGGATGTCGTCAGAGAAGCCAGCAGGTACCCTGGACGCTGCGCAGATGTCATCGAGATTGCGTTACCTCAGTCGGACACTGGAGCATGTCAAGAATCGTTGGGAGGTGGAGTACCTAAGTCAGCTGAACAAACACCAACAGACCATGTCGCGCCCTTTAGCTGTGGGTGATGTTGTCTTTGTTCTCGATGATACCAAGCGCAAACAGTTCTGGCGTTTGGGACGGATCATCGAGTTATTCCCTGGTCGAGATGGTAAGCGTCGTGTTGCCAAGGTTAAGTTGAGTACCAGTACCCTGTTGAGGCCGATCCAAAGGTTAGTGCCGTTAGAAGTATCGTCACAGGACGTGGCTCCTGGGCTTGCAGATACCGCTCAACCTGTTATCGTCCCTCAGCAGCCAGCGTATGAACCGTCAGCACCGTTACCACCACCACGGCAGCAGGAGATAACGCGTTCTGGGCGCGTAGTCAGAGCCCCGGATCGTTTTTGACTTGTGTGCATTGTTGTACGGCGGTGAGAAGCCCTTTGGTGGGGAGAATGTTGTAAACCACCAGTTCTCAATTGGGAAAGGCCTTCGCGCTTATGGCATTGTATTCGTTGAAATGTTGTATTTCGACTCCGCCGTACCGCTGATGTTGCTGCATGGCATACGCTATATGCGTTGTGTGCGTTTTGCTGTATACGCTGTTATGTCCAGTTTTATCTGCTTATGTTTTGCATGTACGCTGTTTTTGCATGCTATAAATAGCTGGTGTTATTAGTGTTCATTGTTAATTATCAGATGAAGTGAAATATACTGTGTAAAGGAAAAGAGTTGTCCTCGTGCCGTGTGGTCGTACAATCCTGACAATTAGAGAATCTTGCAGGGTTCACAACAACTCGTATATCTACCATCTACCACTGCTGCATTACTTAATACCGGCTCTTGCCTTGGTAGGTGCTACTCATCCATCCACCAGGAGGGTACAGGCTGATGGCAGTGATGCAGCGCATGCAGGGGCCACTGGCCAGCCCTACACGTAGACCTCTACACATACACGTACGTGGTCGATCTATCAGGGTCTATTGTTGTTCTGCTTTGTGTGGTCTATGAAAAGTATGATCACTACTTACATGTATGTGTGTAGTGGGCGGCAGCTCCTTGACCTTGGTCAGACCAAGAGTATATAACCACAATTGGGTTATGTACTCTTGAACCCCCCCCCCCCCCCCAAGAGTATAACCCTGGGGGGGGGGGGGGGGGGTTATACTCTTGGTCAGACCCAAGCTACTACAATCATGTGCTACGAATCGTAGTACAGTAAAGCGTGAAATTTTCGCGGCGTTTTTAGTTCGCGTTTTCAGAATCCGGACAGGTTTGCGAGGTTTTAATTTTGCGATTGAATGGCATTCTTGCTAAACCTTTCATGGATCTCCTTTTCGCGCTGTCTAAATTTCGCGATTTCCACGCGGTCGCGAATTTCGCAGAAATTAGACCATCGCAATAATTTCACGGTTTTATACTAGTACTACTACCAAGAGTCCATAACCGGGTTATGGACTCTTGCTACTACCGGTAGTGTATCTGGAGCTAGCTGGAGTGGCACGTGGAGGTCTACGTCTACTCACATCATAATCATGTCGACATGTCATACACGTAGTAGATCTACACTTCATACTCATCGGCCAGTACACCATGTACCAGCACACTGAGTGCAGACTGCAGTCGTGTAAACGTCGACTCTCCCTTTTTCAAGCCAAACTGATGTAGTGATGACTCAACTCAAGCCAAGGCTTCTCTCATTCAGTCATTGTGTTTGTTTATGGTGCCGGTGATCCTGAGTGTGCTGTGTGGTAGTCGTTCGATGAGAGTGAGTTTTGTCACTTGCACAGGAGAGTTGCAGTGTTCTTTGTTGCAGACGGCGCTCTGCTGAGTATATCTTAGTTCTTGGTACCTGTAGTCGACTTTCATCAACCTGTTAGCAACTCGTAGAATGTCGGGAGGGCATATGTCTCTTCAAGAGGCGCTTTGTGCCATGTCAATGATGGATACTCATATCGATTACTCAATTTCGTCAACCCCAACGTAAGTAGAGAATGAGTAACTGTCAAGTACACTGATTCGATTTCTAATTTCCCGGGCCGCGATGATTTCCTGATTCGCTTGCTGGTGTTGGGTTCGACCTGTCCTTCCACCATTCGTGTTCGGTTCTTGGTCGACGAGCTCAGTTTCCTCTCAATTTTCTGTGAACAAAATCTCAAAATGTCCATGCACACTACAGTATCTCCTGATTTAAAATTCCATCTGAATATTCAAGCACCGATGCCAGTCTTTGTTCTGCAAGGACACCCATAGGACTTCAGTTTTCATTTCACTCTTGCTTACTAGTAGCTCTTCTCCGAAACACCAGTCTCCAATGGCTCGGTTCTGGTGTTTGCTTCTCCACCAGCTTCATCTTTTGTAAAAATTCGAATTTTATGTATTCACTGGACCTGGATGTACTATGATGATTCAATCAGGGCGACAGGGAAACACGTTATGATCAATGTCCTACTCCTGGAAATGCACAGAAAAGTTAATGGTCTGGTACATGGTGCGCTCCCTCATTTTTGGACTCGTTATCTCTGGGTGCTGGTCCTGTTTTGAAGCATACTAGTACCTCATGTTACCAAATATGCCCCCAAGAGTGTGCAACTCCTGGCTGATACCCTTTCTATGGGGTTCTCCGATGGCGGAAATTCTGTCATCACTCATCACGTGGTGTAGTGTCCCAGTTGTACGTTTTCAGCTCGTTTCTAGTGAGCAGCGGAGTAATAATAAAGGCACTCCCTGGTAGAAACTCACTGCGCGTATACGCAACTCGCCAGCATAATCATGGCAGATTTTCGGATTGCGTGCACCCTATCCTTAGCTGTACGTAGTACAAAACGTCCCGGAGCTCCTGAGTGATTGTTGGACGAAAGTTGCCTAAACGATGTCTCCTAACTGTTGAACGAACCTTGTGTGAAGTAACATTGAAGAGCCGTGTTGGCCACGCTTTTTGGTGACCACGCCAGGATGGCATCGGTGGGATTAGGCGACCTGGAGGCCACTTTTACCCGCAGCGGAACTGCGTACGGTTACAGTGCCAATGACCTGAGAGAGTATACGTCGATGCTCGTTTGGTGGAAGTGCGAGATCGAAATGAACGAGCGGAACAACGGTCCTTGGCCCCAGCTGCGGGAAGAGTTGGGCAAGGATATGAGGAGAAGTTGGCCGAGGTAAAACGAGAGGCCGAGTCCGTATCGCGAGCGGAGAGTCTGCGGAGCAGACAGACAATTAGTAGCAAGAGTACATAACCCCCCCCCCCCCCTAGGGGGTGAAATCCCTGCAATTTCCAGCCACACAAGTCGCGGCACCTGAAACCTCACCCATGTGAGACATCACTCGCGTACGCGCTTAGGCCCTTGCCTTTGTGTTTTTTGCGCTTTTCTAGCGTTTTATTTGTCATATATCCAAGAAATAATATGCGGTCCTGCAAGTGTTGATTATTTTATTTGTAAGTTTTAGGGCTGAAACAATTATACCGATAACTCGCATATCGATCGTCAAGAGTGCAAACGATAATCGTTAGTGTTTAAAACGAGTGCTAACGATTTATTATGAATGCATATCAGTGACAGTATTCTAGCCCTTGCACTTCATCCGATAGTGAATACGAGTACAATCATGTACTTCCAAGCGCGGTAAAATTGATTTGTGGCTTTGAAAGAGATCGGGAGAGAAGACTTTGTCTTTTTGGTTCATTTGTGTGAGAGGTTGGAGATAAGAGCAGTTGCCAGAGGGTGATGACAAGATTCTTTGCTCTAGAAACAACATGAAATTCTCTAGTTCATGTTGATAAACCAGCCAGATTTCCACAGATGTCAACAGAGCGGTGCCACAAATTTCTAATGTACCAAGGTATCATGGAATTTCTTCATAAACTGGTGTGCGAGGTACACGAGTAGAGCCGACAAGAATCGATAAAACCAATATATCGATCGTTAATGATATTGGTTGATCGTTAGGAGTTATTGAATGATCGTTTCAGCCCTAGTAAGTTTGTGTGGGTTTGCTTGTACACGCACATGCGTCCAGGTTCTTTGTTTTTTGCCACCGAATAAGCAATGTGTGTGATTTCCGCACCTGAGTTCACAGACACATGCGTTCGCGTTCATGTCACCGACACGTGCATCCTCCGTACTAACACGTGTAGCCATGTAGACCTGGCCACCTGTGTTCACTGCCGTGTGTGTGTGTGTGTGTGTGTGTGTGTGTGTGCGTGTGTGTGTGTGTGTGTGTGTGTAAGCCAGTCAGTCATAGCATCTGGGTTGACGACATGAGATCACAGTACACTGTATCCCGAAAAGATGTGTGCGTTTCGACCCTGGATTCAAAGGTTCTAGAGTCTATCTATGCAACTCACAATCTTAACCTGCTGACCCCAACCTTGTATTGGCCCAGACCAGCAATGCCTTATGCGAGCATGTCTATATCAGCCCTGCCCCAAAGACGTGGGAGCCCAGGTGCAAAGCCCGCCTCGTTTCATGTTCCTGTCGCCGGTGTCGTCATCCTTGATGCTGCGACTCCCGTATTTCACTGTTGCACACGCGTGTGACCAATGCGTCCACTGTAGGCGAAAACATCGACGGGCTGGCTTTCATGCTGTTCCTTTCGCATTCTCATCCTAAATCCTACCAAGCGACAAACATCGAATATACATTTGTCGTTGTCAACAAATTACATAAGCGCTGGAGATGGATTTCTCGTTCCGAGTTCTTGTTTTTGCACAGTTGCACGTCTTTCTTCTTTTGTCTGGATCCTATGACATTGCGATTGCATAGAGCAGGATAACATTGGCAGTTGCTTGCATCATTCACCAGGGTACATGATCTTCGGCAGTTTCCCGCATCATTGTCGATTCGCAGGCCAAGACCGGAACCAGTGTACTTATGTCTGCCCGACAAAGACGGTCTCGTCGCTTACGATGGTAAACGGAACCAAAGAGAAACGCCTGGAAGCAAAATGACGGACAAGCAAACCAGTTAGACAGCTGCGACTGACTGTACTGCATCCGTATGTTGGTGGCTAGAATGCCGAGCCGCAAGTACTAGTACATTGTGAAATAAACTACGCCGTTGAGGCCACGGAGCAGATCGGAAACAAAACATCCAGTTGGTTTGATTTGGGGACGTACCTGGTATTCGAGCCGAATTCTGTAGGAGTAAAAATGGGGGAAACCTCAGCACTCCACTATTCCGCATCGTGCTTTATCAAACAACTCGTTACTTTAAAGCTTGTCTTGCCTTTCCAAAAACACCTCACCCATGGGGGTTGGAGAACGGTCATGAGAGTTATGACACATTGAACATTGGTATCAATTCACAGGATGTCTTGAGGTGTCCTAGTCTGCATTCAAATTGGAAAGACCAAAACCATCTGCACTTGCACTAGCTTCGGTGATGCGCGAGAAATCAAGGAAACTCTTGAGCTCTTGCCGCTTCGTGTATCCACCCCGGAGTTTTTCGAGCGAATAGCCGAGAATCTCTGCTACCTCGCGGGCATTTCGATTGTTGAATTTGGGTGAGATTTGACTGAGTTGTGACTCGTTCGTTGACTGCACATACATAGGCATGGCTCGAACCATGCGCTCTAAACGGTCAATAAAACTCAACTCCATGTTGTCAATAGCATCAAGAATGCGAACGAAATGGCTGGTGGTGGTTCCAGCCGAGAGTCCATAGCTGCATCCAATAGCCAATTTTCGTTGAAGCGCCTAGTCACCAGGTCACGGGTGCTGAAAATAGGGAGGTTCTGCTATACGTGAAACGTAGAGAAATCACGTAGAGAGCAGGTGTCTGGGTTAGAGTCTACGGCTTCGCGTGTTTTGGCTCCAGATTTCTACGCGGAGATGGGGTTCTCTATGTTGTGGCACACGCAGAGAAAATGCGTACGGATTTGCTGGGTATCGATCAACTGCATGCAGAAAACTGCCAAATATGGAAGGGGAAATTCCCAGTACACATTCCACGTGACTTCTCTAGGTGAAACGTAGAGCAGAACAGCATTTCTTTACGTTACGGGAACGCGAAGAAAGTTCGCGTGATTCTTTGCGTCGCGTTCCCAAAACGTAGAGCAGAACCTCCCTAATGTCTTTCTGGAACCTTAGGGGCCGTCCGGGGTTACCGATTGTTTTTACAAAACGAAAAGTTTTAGTATTTTTCAGCCCCCACCCACCCACCTTTACTGCAGGTAAAACGAATTTAAAAAAAATATTGATGTCAATTTTCGACACCCAGAAGTAACTGGGCATTCTCCATCAGCATTCAATAATTATTTTCAAAACGAAACTCCATCAAACCCACCCACCCACAAACGAAAACATTTCGTTTTGAAAATATTATTGGTAACCTTGGACGGCCCCTTACCCAGGCTACAACTGTAGCCTGCTATGCGCTAGTAGAAAAATAATTATCTACTTTATCCACTCCTTTCTGCTGGCTGAAGTGTGCTCTAGCCATATCTGTTCAGGCCACGTGACGGTATAGATAGCATGCTACGCACATTCATGTGGGATTCTGTGCACTCTTAGGGGGGGGGGGGGGGGGGGTGTAAGGAAAGCAGAATGGCAAAATTGTGTTCTGCACACCGCCTATTGCTTAGCTACCGGGTATTTCTAATTTTCTATATGTGCAGTCGCGTCGCTTCTAGCCAGTAGTGGTACATGTGGTTGAGCGCATATACTGTAATACGTAATTCTAATATTCTTCAGTTGCTTTGCTCCATGTGTGTTGTGTGTGTGTGTTCTTGTTTTCACAGCACTCCACGACGGCCTGCTGCGTCCAGGTCGCCTCTTCCGTTGGTTTTGGTCACGAATGCACTGGGTGGCGAGACGAAGACCAGCGGATCTCCATCATCGACAGATGCGACCCTGGTTGGCTCTTCTGGCGGCCAACGCTTGCCAAGATCACCGTCAACATCATCAACAGTTTCTCAGTCACCCACCCTATCACCGGTGAGGGAAGTTCCAGTATCCGATGACATCCAGTCAACTCGAGCACGCCGACCTCCCTCCTCTTCACATCCGTCACTGTATCTTCACCGTGCCAGCTTGCGCACGGCTTCGCCGTACGGCAGTATACTGAAAAAGAAGAAAAGGAACGGCGGCATGGATGCTGTGGAGCGGCGGCGGCGGCGTCGGAGACTTCGCGGCATTGTGTCGGACGACGAGTCTGCCCTGGAGTGCTTCTTCGAGTGTCCACCGCCGAGTCCGAGCAGCGCCGGCGAACACACGGAAGACAGTCAGTCCATTGAACTGGCGTACATGCTCGGTGAGCTGAGAACTAGCTCGCCTGCGCCGTCGGTACCGTCGGCACAACCACCACCGCCACCGCCACTGTCCTCAGACAACAGTCCTCAGTTGAGCAATGATGAAGTCTTCGCACCGTCGGCCATCACTAACGCATTATCTAATCAGCAGCAGCAGCAGCAGCAGTGGCGTGGGCAGCGTCCACCTCATTCTGATTCACCATCTTTGTGGAGCCAGGCAACGAACACCACAACGACAGCAGCGGTCACGGCCACGGCGGCAATGTCCTCTGTGCCCACGATCAGTAGCATTTCTAGTTTGTCTAATCGGCTGGATGAGGCGCTGTCACCCTTCTCCTGCGGAGTTCAACAAACCTGCCGGCAGTGTGCTTCAAGGCAATTCTCAACGTCATCTAGTAGTTGCAACTGCCGGCCGGCATTGAACACCTGGGATGACACGACGCCAGACGAATTAGCTTCATACATTCAGCATACCCTGTACTTACCACGGGAAATGTCAGATGCTGCGAAGATGATGTACGCGTGAGTTGCTATTGTCTTCTCGCCTTTGCTGCCGGTGTGGTAACGCTGTTGTCCTTGTGCTGTGCTCTGCCACCGCACTTTTCACCGTTCTGCCACTGTTTTGTTTTTTTAATTTATCGAACCCAGTGCCCCCATAGACTTAGTTACAGTCTAGGAACCCACACGATTAGTTGCACCATTGATGATATCCGCTCGTAAGCAGTAGACTGTAAACATTGGGCAGCTTGTGTGGCTGCTTGCAACCCCTTTTCCTCACCCCCCTCCCTCCTGCTACTTTTTTTATGTCTGCCTTTTTTATTAACTTATCCCCCCCCCCCTCCCTCCTGCTACTTTTTTTATGTCTGCCTTTTTTATTAACTTATTTCCTGAGTCTAGACAACAGAGTGAAACGACCTACTGTGTTTTAACCAAGCCCCCACCCACTATCCCATATCTGTTCTATCCAGAAGTTGTTTTGATCATCACTTGTCTGACTGATATTAGGATTTCTCTTGTCTTGTGTGTGTGTGTGTGTTTTATCTCCAAAGTTTTATCAGCGTGTCCTATTTTTGTGTTAATTTTTCGCCTCTCTGGCTGTAGAGTGTTGTGTGTTTTTCTCATCTTCGTCGCGCTTTTGCTTGCCATCAATGGTTTTTTTATACTCGATTTTTCCTCAGTCTAGCTCCACTCCGGTGTTTCAGTTTTTGGTTGGTGTGAGATATTCACCATTATGCTGCTCTATTTTGTTTTTTGGTTGGTGTTTCAGCCCTTACTTCTGCCCCCTCCCCAACACTTCTGCAGTACCATAGTCTGTGATTGTCTATGCTGCTGGTTTTAAGAAGAGCACAATGATACTGGATACTTGTTTGACCTCACTCCTGTAGATAATGTCGTGTCACTTTCAGGCTAGCTGCGCTGTGGTCTTGTTCCATCCTCAGTCCTAACCAGAAGAGCGTGTGTGTGCGTGGTGTGTGTGTGTGTGGCTGCTTGTGATGTTGGGTGCAGCTTGAGTGGCTGGATTGCATGCATGCTTGCAGCATTTTATTGTGCTCCCTGCTTTGGAGTAGTAGGGGTGAGGCATCTAGCAGCTTCAAAACTCGAACAGAAGTGTGAGCACACATGCTCTTTCCCTTGGCACTGCAAATTCACAACTCATTTCACAGAATCATTTTTGACGTTTCGGCAAATTGCCATCATCTGGATGCAATATGAAATGAGTTGTGAATTTGCGGTGCCCAAGGAAAGAGCATGTGCTTTTAGTCTAGTATCCAATGTGTTGATGCCTGGCCAGTCTCGGTCCCGGCCAGCACTCTCATATCCAATGTGTTGATGCTTGGCCAGTCTCGGTCCCGGCCAGCACTCTCATATCCAATGTGTTCTACTCGGAGAGAAATTGGTGGCTGCTGCTGCTGTCTTTCTTCACAATACTACAGTTGTAGTTTTAAAATGTACTGATTATTTGAGAAGTACCGGTGATGGTACGAAAGGCCTCACCAACCTGGTTCACAATTGGCTTCGTCTCAACATGTGTTTCTCTGACTAAATCCCTCTGAAAATGCCTTATAATGACTTTGATGCTTTGACTCTTGAGTCGGTTGAAAATGAAAAACCTGAGATTGAGCACAGTACTGCGCCAGCAAGAGCACATAACCAACGGGGGGTTATTGGTACTCAACAACGGGGCCGGGGGTTATCGGGACTCAACAACGGGGCCGGGGGTTATCGGGACTCAACAACGGGGCCGGGGGTTATCGGTACTCAACAACGGGGCTGGGGGTTATCGGGACTCAACAACGGGGCCGGGGGTTATCGGGACTCAACAACGGGGCCGGGGACGGTTATCGGTACTCAACAACGGGGCTGGGGGTTATCGGGACTCAACAACGGGGCCGGGGGTTATCGGGACTCAACAACGGGGCCGGGGACGGTTATCGGGACTCAACAACGGGGCCGGGGACGGTTATCGGTACTCAACAACGGGGCCGGGGGTTATTTTAAAATTAATATTTGACAACTCCTTGTCGTCCTTGATGTACATGTACTCTTGATACACTGTATCTGACTATAATCACGTTACAATTTGTACTGTTCTGTTCGTGGCTGGCAGCAAAGGCACTTGTTTAGTACACAGCCGCAACAGCAACAGCAACAACAGCACAACGAGCAGCAGCAATACTGAGCAACAGCAGCAGCAGCACAAGCAGCAGCAGCAATACTGAGCAACAGCAGCAGCAGCAACAGCAACAGCAGCACAAGCACTGTCAAGCAGCAGCAGCAGCAACAGCGGCAGCAGCAGCAGCACTGAGCAGCAGCAACAGCAGCAGCAGCAACAGGCAACAGCAACAGCAACAGCCGCTGAATTGCTGTTGCTGTTGCTGTTGCTGTGCTAGCAACAGCAACAGCAACAGCAACAGCAACAACAACAACAACAACAACAGCAACAACAAAGTTACTTACTTGGGTGGGTCAGCAGTATCGGAGATAAAGGAAGGGAAATCTGAGTTCAATTACCTGGTTTTTATTTTGGTTTGTTTGTTGTTACTATTCTTTGACTTTGTTGTTGTTATTGTTGTTGTTGTTGTTGTTGTTGTTGTTGTTGTTGTTGTTGTTGTTGTTGTTGTTGTTGTTGTTGTTGTTGTTGCTGTTGCTGTTGCTGTTGCTGTTGTTGCTAGCACAATGATTATGTACGCACACAAATACAGTCATGTACATGTACCTGTACATGTACATATACAGGTACCAGTACATGGCTGCGCCGGGGATCCGGGTTCACCGAGTTCGTGCGTGGTCCAGTCCTGACACAAAATGGCGGAAACCACAAAGACTATGGACTATGGTAGCTGTCGATCGATTCGATGTCGATATCGTGTCTCTCTCTCTCTCTCTCTCTTTTTCATTAGCTGCTGGTGTAGAGGGCAATGCCAATAGGTTGTACGCGTCCATAGCTAGCTTCACGTCAGGAGGAACAGCGAAGTAGAATCAGTGACCAACTGCAGTGATCTAGAACTGTCACAGAAGACCAGAGGTATCGAAGTAAGTTTTGGCCGTACCGTTCCCGCCCCCAGCGACAGCTTGTCTGCATGTCGACTGGTGTCGGTTTGCCTTCGGCCTAAACGCGGAGTCGGAGGTTCCCAGTTTTCACCAAGCGCCACCGGTTTGTCAACGACGTGTGTTTCCGGCTAGCTGTCACCTCTCCAGCATCCGCCTGGGGTTTGTCGCAGACCTGTGGCTGTGGCTGTGGCTGTGGATAGTGTGAAGGTTACGCCATGTCGACAACAAGTCTCGGCTACGTTCGTCCGACGCCGGGGTCGGCGGCCATATCTGTTTTGTCGCAAGAACGAAAGAAGTTTGTCGCCCCTGCTCGCGTTGGATTGGTAGGTACAGCTAGTACTACAGCTAGAACTTCTCAGCCTGTCCAATGTTTCATTTCCCTTTTTAGTGCTGGGGCCAAGTCCGAAAAAGTCGCTTTATTGAGGAGTTGCATTTGACACCTCGTCCAGGAAAGATTTGACTTCAAATTCGGAGAGGCGGACCAACTATAGGAATTTTGGAGAAAACTAGAAGTTCCCAATGTTGTCCGTTTGGAAGTTATGAGCTATTTCCAAATTGCTTAGGTTACTATGGTAACCTGTGTGCAATTAGCCGTTTCTGAGGCAAAGCCGATACAATTTTGGAGAAAAAAGTTACCTTGTTGGAAGGCGAGCTCTTTCCAAGACTGTCATTGAAAACCAGAAGTTTATAGGACTGTCGGCTTCCTTGTCACAGGAATTTCTCGAATTTCTACGGTCACCGCGGTAACGTGTATGCAATTAGCCACTTCTAAGCCAAAATCAGTGCATTTCCTCCCCTGTAGGCAGGTGGAAAGCAGAGAATAGTTATAATAATGTGGCTTAGAGGTCGATTGGGCTGTTGCAAGCCTGGTTTGTAGAGACTGGACCCCTCTCTCCGGATTTAGTGCCGGGATCCACACAAAAGGATCAAGAGGATTTAGGCAGGACTGACATCCAAGAACGAGCAAGGAAACACAACTGATAGCAAAAACAAAAACAAGAAGACTCAAACAATTCCCTAGCATATATTAGAACTGGGGCTAGCCCCCAATAGTTCAAATGGTCGCAAGACCAGGGCTATGCCAACCGTGGAGGTTGTAGTAAGGTCATAAGGAGCACTGTTTTCGAACACAGTCTCAGTGCATCCTCCGCCTACACGTAGCTTGTAACATGCTGGCAACCAAACTACATTGTATGTTTTGTCATGTACATGTACATGACTACACGTATTTTTCACATCCAAAGAATCATCTTGCCCGTAAAAGAGGCCAGTACTGTAAGGTGTACATGTACATTGTACAATGTACTGAACTGAAGTACATGTCCAGGACACTGTTGTGGTATTCATTATTGTTATTGTTGTTGTTACTGGTGTGCCATTTAAATTACATGTATACATATACTTCATGCACATGTATAGTCGTTCAACCAAACACACCAAGTTCCCTTCTCATATCACACGGAGATGCCAGGACTTGGAAGACGAGAGAGATCGGAGTATGCAAACTGCTCCATGGCAGGGCAGAAACCTCACTATTGTCACTAAGAACTCCACAACCTGCCGATCAACAATTTTCTCCAGTACGTTGACAATTGGCAAGAGATATGGCTTGTAGGAGTTGAGAGTAGTCAGTATTATTATGGCCATAACTGTCTCCACATTTACATGATTGTATACAGGTGAAACCATCCAGGGTGTTCGATGTACATAGAATAATCTGTGGCATCAGGTACTGTACTGTATTTGCATCACTTGTAGCCGAGTTGGATGGTGAACAACTGCTGCACACGTACATATACATGTATCTGTGAGTGCTGGAAATGATGCCACATGTACCGGTACAGGTACTACCAAGAGTTATAATCCCCCGGTTATACACTCTTGGTTCTAGGTGTAGAATTCATAGTGGCTCGGCTAGATAGCAGGAGAGGTCACTGCCCCATGGGCCATGGGGTCAGTCCTGGACTGTTTTGAAACTGTTGCTTGATCAGAGGGATGTGACCAGACCTTCCTGTGTAAATGCTTGCTGTGAGTTGCTGAAGGATGACACATGAGCACGGAATATGTGGCGGAGTTTGTTGCATGTTGCGGTTAGGGCAGTTGTTTGTCTATTAGCCATCTTGTTGATCAAAATTGTCCTTCCAGGTCTTGGCGTAGGCCCCCGCCCCGGTCTACATGTACATGTACATGACTGTATTTCATGGGCAATGTGCTTCCTAAACTCATGTACATGTACATGTCGATTGGACAGCCTGCATGACCATGATGACATTGTTCCACAAAAAGAAAATGTGAATTGGGTGGAAAGTACTAGTAGTGGATCATGGTGACCAATCCTGTCAACATAGCACACCGCTGTATGATGTACATGTACATTGTATTATGTGAAGGAAGTGAGGAAACAAGTGCCAGGTCAATGCAATCCCGGATCCCGGTAGTGTTAGAGGGGAGAGGAGCCCAGTCTCTACAAACCAGGCATGAACAAGCCCAATAGACCTCTGAGCCACAATATTATAACTATTCTCTGCTTTCCACCTGCCTACAGGGGAGAAAATGTACTGATTTTGGCTTAGAAGTGGCTAATTGCATACACGTTACCACGGTAACCGTAGAAATTCGAGAAATTCCTGTGACAGGAAGCCGACAGTCCTATAAACTTCTGGTTTTCAATAATAGTCTTGGAAAGAGCTCGCCTTCCAACAAGGTAACTTTTTTCTCCAAAATTGTACCGGCTTTGCCTCAGGAACGGCTAATTGCACACAAGTTACCATAGTAACCTAAGCAATTTGGAAATAGCTCATAACTTCCAAACGGACAACATTGGGAACTTCTAGTTTTCTCCAAAATTCCTATAGTTGGTCCGCCTCTCCGAATTTGAAGTCAAATCTTTCCTGGACGAGGTGTCAAATGACACTGTCAGATTTCTGGACCTGGCTCCAGGACTATTTGTGCGGTGACGAGCGCTCTTCTAATAATCCTGTGTTTGGTGTTGTCTCGGCTGTTCTTCTTTCCTTGCGTCGTTTCGGTTTTCCGCGTATAGCCATGGCAGCGCCACATCATATTCTCGCTGCTGTCACTTGCAGTGGCTATGTCGCTGGTCACTGGGACAGTTGGCTCGGCCGACTGGAGTGCGAGTGGTGTCTTGCCAATGCCGAACGGGGCGGTTTGCCCCGCTGCTGCTGCTGCTGCTGAAGCAGGTGAGTGAGCCCCTACTGGCCTGGCCCTACTGCCACTCACGGTGGCCCTAGCCTTGCTTGTACTTGTACTTGTAGGCCGTATACAAGAGTAAGCACTCACTGGAAGTAGCCAGTGCTAGTGCATATTACCACAAATGACATGTTTAGCCTAGTACCGTACATGTATGGGTAGTACTGGCATCCGGGTAACTGTGCGCTGAAAACCCCCAAAAGTAGGGATTCACTGGCCAGAAAAGCCACTTCATAGCTGTGTGGTACATATTATGGTGACGAGGCTGAATAGTGACGACCAATTCTTCAGCTTTGCAAGCTGTTGAATGGTGCAATCCCAGCACAAGTTGCTATGGCTTCTGCTGTAGCATCGCTGTCATAGCCTCCGGCGATGGGCGTCAAATGGTCCATGGTGTGTGTGTCACTGTGGGTGTGGGTGTGTGTGTGTGTGTGTGTGTGTGCGTGTGTGTCACTGTGTGTGTGTTTCTGTGCACTTGTGATTGTATGCTTCACAACCAGGACATGTATTGAAAACGCTAACCTGTCGGCTCGGTAACCCACCGGCATCATGTCAGTATAATGACAGTAGGAACAGCAGCAGCAAAGTCAATGTCTCGGTTACGTGCCAAGGTGAGGGTGAATGTTGGCTGTGTACTCTGGAAACGATTTTTAACTTTTTTTCGTCGCAAGGTGCAACGCAGTTTTCGTTCCAAACCCCAGCGTTTTCTCAGAACTGAAAGGGCGACCGCGGGGATCGTTGCCACCGTCTTTGTGGTGGAAAATCACCGGCCGAACCGGGAAAAGGTTCTAATGTCAATGCTAAACCCTATCTTCCGATTCGGTCTTGGGCATTTCTGCCATGCTGAAGTGCCCAAACAAACACCCGATGGTCACCGTAGCTCGTCTTTTCCTCTCTTTTGTGTTTTTGTTTCCCGCTGCGTGCTTATTGTACGGTGGACTATCACCTGGTGACCTTGTGGCAGAATGCATTGCGTTTTGGAGCATTTTTAGGAGGATGCAGTGTTGCCGGCTACAGCGCTCTGAGTTTTCCTGAGTGCTGGGCTGTTGGCAACAGATACCGGTAGATACTGTTGAACAGCTAATTTTAGCGGGTAACATTTTTAGCGTTTTCTGAATCTGGACCAATTCGCGAAATATTTGAGCGATCCGAGTTTCAGAGTCTGAGTGTAAAAAGAAGGATGATTAGTACTGTGCTGTACATGGAAAGTTTCGATTGGCGTGGCAACACTTTAGCGAAAACACTCCTTTCTAAAATATCACCGTTGCTAAAATTAGCCGTTTTACAGTATTGAGTGAGCAACTTGCCTTGCGATGTGCACGTCCATTGTGTTCTGTATGTACTACAGATGGCCGTCACGCTGGCAGGGACTACTGCACATCGAGCACCGGCCAGATTGTTCTGATCGCCACTGTTGCCACGGTTGCAAATGTCATCCTGATGGTGACGTGCTTCTTCATGACCAGGTACATGTACAGTAGTCAATAGCATTGTCATATTGTGTTGCTTGGTTACCATGACAGGGTGAGCAGGCTCACAGACATGTTTGTAATAATTCCAAAGAATAGTGGTGTTTAGTCTAGTTAGCATTTCATTGTTGTGATCTTGTTTTAAAAGGGCATTTCGCCCACAGCTGCTGTTACAGTTGTCCTAGTCACCGCACTCTATAGTTGTCCTATGTTTTAGACCTTTGTCACAATGACATGCCAATGACATGTCCCTTGCATGCGTGTCTCCTGGCAGGCGGAAAGATGACGGTCGGTACTCTCTGCGACAACCATTTAGTCGGCGACCAGCAACTAAACCGGATGACAGTGAGTCGTGAGCATAATTATGATCTTGAGCACGCGCGCGTGTGTGTGTGTGTGTGTGTGTCGTCATAAATGTCTCGATGAGCGCCGCAAACCTGCATCAGAACAGAGAGGTAGCCGACAATGTTCTTCCTGCGAGCGCTGGTTCCGCAGTGCCGGAGGTTTGGCGGTCCACAAGTGCCCCAACTTCCGGATGCTCCCCGCAACATCGTCTCGGGCTCCGTGCCGGGCGGCGGTGTCCACCATTGCTGCTCAGGCGACTCCTCCGCCGCCGCGTGTGCGGCTCGTCCTCTCATGCTGCAAGGCCCACTGTGGGGCCTGTGGTCGGTGCTGCCGCTCTACTCGTGGATTCCAAATCCATAGCTGCCAAAGATGGCTCTCTCGTCGTGCCGATTGAACATGGTCCCTGATCTCTTGGCAGACTGCCGGCTTTCTGCCGTCGCTTGTCGTTTCCATGTTGTCGGTCCCGCAAGGGGACACGTGACCGTAATGGCAGTGTTTACCAGGACCAGGTGTGTGTGTGTGTGTGTGTGTGTGTGTGTGTGTGTGTGTGTGTGTGTGTGTGTGTGTGTGTGTGTGTGTGTGTGTGTGTGTGTGTTGTACCTGCCACCTCTGTTGGTTTCAGGGTTCATATACTTTCTATTTGAAGTACACGCACCTGTTTACCATGGACTGCTTCTGGCTAGATTAACTCTTTTGTAATCAATGGTGCAAGTGAAGCTTATATCAGATCCACTCTGATTTAGCTACCCACACTAGTAGCAAGTATTACCTTCACTGGGGGCAGGGATAACTGCAGTTGGATCCCAGGACGGATACCCTGATGCCGTCCATCCATTTTTGCACCTTGTCCTCACCCACTTAGGGGCCATCCGTAATTATCGATCTTTTTCACGAAACGAAAAAGTTTCGTTTATGGGTGGGTGGGTAGCGACCGGTTTCGTTTTGGAAAAACATCGAAAGCGGAAAAATCAACGCTCACTGCATGCATTGATGCATGCATACATTGTGTACATCGAAGTAGATCGACAGTAGACTCTACGTCGCGCGCGTGGCCAAGCAAGTGCTGCATGGATGCACTGATACCACTCTGTACGGTACTCAGTGCAGTGAGTTCCTTTCGTCCTCGGATGACTTCTCCGACGAGGACCTAGCAGTCATCATGGTCATTCACTCTGGGACCGACGACAGATAGATAAATACTTCGTTCCAGCCGCCGATGCAAGAGAATTTCAAATTACGGAGCGGGGCGCACGCCAAGTAAATTCTCACGCAAATATGGGGAGCGCCAGCCGCTGAAGACGATGTCGTCGTAATGTGCCTGGAAGAATCTGATCGTGCTTATGGTGGGGAAGCCATGGAGAGTGATCCCCGTGTCGACAGTCTTCCAGATACGGAAAATTAGGCCATCGACTTTCTACGTACCTGATTGACCGCAGCGCGGCGTGCGTGGGACCTTACGGAGCTTTTCGACAGCGATTCTGGGGCAATGCTGCTCTCATTTGCGAGCGAGGCACGACCACTGAAGTCTTTGATAGCTATGGCGTTTGTTTCCGCTCCGAAGTCGACTTGTTTTGGCAGTATGTCAATGTCGGAACTCTGACGATTTGCAAGTGTACAATTCCCATGTTTAGACGTAGAGGTGCCAGCAGCGTATGTGTGTGGGAGATGAAAATAAATGTTTCCATGGTCAAGAAGTAGTACCAGACTTCCAAGAAAACATAACTAACTTACTTACTTGCACAATCACACAAAATGTGGCCTCGCTGTGTTGTAACAGCCAATCAAGATCATTTTCTGCACAAAGTCTCCAGTCAATTAATTTTTTCGTTTCAGGGGGGTGGGTGGGTCATAACTAAACTTTTTCGTTTCGTGAAAAAGATCGATAATTTCGGATGGCCCCTTACTGAGGTGTGGCGAGCCCATAAGTGGGATCATTTCCAAGTCCACCCATAGTTTGGGGATTTCAGGGGGTGTCGGCCGTTGGGCGGTTCAATAGCCAATTGAGTCATCTTTCCAAGATTTCTTTTGAGTCTCTCTCCCCTCTCCCGGAGAGACCCACGTGACCAATTCTGGCAGTGAGCAAGTACAAGTGTGTGTGCTGTGTGTGTGTGTGTGTGTGTGTGTGTGTGTGCGTATGTGTGTGCGCGTGTGCGCGCGCACGCGTGTGTGTGTATGTTGGTCTGAACTAGGTGCAGACTGCAGGAACAGCAGACAATGCAGGAACCTAAGCACATTATGGCGCTCTCTGTATGAGAGGTGGTGGGTGCAGGATAGTCAAATTGAGATCAACAGAATTCTAGTCAAAGGTTAGTGTTGAATGAGATCGGTCACCCTTACTAACATCTGTTCGTATCACATTATATATGGGCCATTTCCGTCACAATGATGATTGTATTCTGGGAGAATACATTAATTTTCTGGTCGCATTAAAAAAAAGGCCAGGGCCAATTTGGCTGGAATCGTGGCCATTACTTCTCCAGTTGTGATGTCACGGTGATGTCATGGTGATGTCACGGTGATGTCATGGTGATGTCACGGTGATGTCATGGTGATGTCACGGTCACGGCTGTCACGATGGTCATGTACTCAGCCAAAAAATATGGTGTCCAAAAATTTGAAATTTTGAAAATCTCATCACCGATCTGTCATTGATTTGCACGAAATTGCTCTTTTTCTCTTGAGGAAACCTCCACTTTCCCCTTCCAATCGACAGGGGCTCAAAGTACAAACACGATTCATGACTTCCTCTCGCAATCCTCTTTCATCTGATACCCGTCTTGGCCGTCTTCTTCCAGGAACGATTCCTTCGGAGGTGCGTTTCCTTTGCCTTGACGACTCTTCGTCACTTCTATCAGCCCTTTTCACAGCTACCTTCTTCTCTTGTACAAGTTTTCTCGTCTTCTTCGTCAGTTTTCCTGGTGCCTGGGCGATTTCATTTACCGATTTTTTGAATTTGTTAGTCTTTCCGTGCTACAAGATCGATTTCCGTGGCCATCGATTCTACCGTATCCCGTACTAGTAATAGTGTGTAAAATGGATGAACACAGTGCATTGCTGTCTACCTGCTGTAGAATTGGTGACAAAAAGTTTGCCAACATGGCTGTGTCCACGAAATACAACGTGAAGGACTATGCCAGAAGCATTCAAGCTGTGTACGAGGTCGACATTTCTCAGGATGACCCTGCGATCCACCCTACACACATTTGTCATGTATGCAAACGTGTCCTGGATCGTTGTCTGAGTGCAGGTAGCCTGGACTCATTTGTAGGGGGTGGATGTGGAGCGATCAAAGTGTGGAAGCCACATCACCGCACATACTGCGACATATGCCACACTGCACCAAACAAGGGTGGACGTCCACCAAAAAAGCAGAAGCAACTTGCTTCAAAGCTTTCTGCTGTAGAAAAAAGAAAAAAAGAAATGGATGACACAACAGTCCCGCAACATTCATCCACAACGGCAATACCCCTATCACACTCTCCTGGACCCCAGACAGCACACAGTACTAGTGGAATGGATATAGTTATAGAAGAAGTATACATAGTCGCTACGGACACGCAGCGGCACAGGGCATCGAGAGCCCTGACTAGAGACAGATTTATAGACCAGAGTGTAGCAGAAGAATGTCCACTATGCGGCTACGCTCTGGACAGCGTCGTTGAATCAGCCTGCTGCCACGCCATGTTTAGCGCTACATGTATATGCACATGGCTGCAATCCAATGGAACATGCCCAGTCTGCAGTTCTGTTCTGCTGGCATCAGAAGCCAGGAAGGCAGAGGAAGACGTTGTGACCATCACTGATAAACTCCACTCGTTGCAACAGCAGTTTCAGTACACAGTCCTCTTCACTCCAGCTCAGCTGAACACATCAGCTGCGGCAGTGGAAATTGTCACTGAGCATTTGCAGGCGCAATGGAAAGATGCAGACGCTCGTCGTGCAGAGTTGGCTGAGAAGCTGAAATCGGCAATGGAGAGAATCAACGTTATTGAACGAAGCAAGAATTTCGAAGGCCCCTGCTTAGCCAGTATTGAGCCAATCCTCCAGGAGCAGGGGATAGAGCGGCAAGCCCACCATGGAGGTGCGTTTGTGGGCAATCATGTTCACAAAGCCCTTCAACCTCCAACCGTGCTCGCAATAGTGTCGGCTCCTGTCTCTGTTGTTGTCGAAAGGTGTCCGTCGTTGCTGCCCGAAGCAAACAGGATCAAGGACACCTACAAGCAGCTATTCGACCAATACGCGTCCTATACGGAGCAGTTCAGCCACTGCAACAGTATGGATGCGTAAAGCACCGACAAGCTGCATGACTCAATCACCAGCTTCATGGCCACATGCAGAGCAGCTGTAGTGGACAAGGGTCTTGGCCATGCCACTCCGAAGCTACACCTGCTTGAGTCCCACGTCGTACCGTCCATCCGGAGAACTGGGGTCGGCATTGGCTTGCTTGCCGAGCAAGGAAGCGAAAGCATCCATGCCCGCTTCAATTCACTGGACCGACATCATCGTCCTATCAGAAACTCCCTCAATCGCCTGAAATCAGTGGCTCAACAGCAACTCGTCACCACGCTTCAACAGCACGAGGCACTTCGCCCAGTCGCCAAGAAGAGGAAAGCATCCACCCAGGACGAGTGACTAGCTGGGTTCGCCTCGAGGTAAGAGCTAATTCACACTGTGTTTCACCAACGTAATATCTATTTTCATTTCGCAGCATAATCGTATTAATTTTACTATTGCCTTCGCTGCTGTAACAGCTACAGAGAACGAGATACTCGTGTACTTGAGCTTTTATCCAGTAACAGTCAGAGGTCGCACCTTCTGAAAAGAATACCAAAAGCTATGAGGGTAATCACGAAAGGTTGATAGTAGCAGGACTAAGAAGCTAGCTTGATTCTTTCTCGATTTCCGACAACTACTTCCAGCATTCTAGAAATCTTCTTCTTCAAAGCACCTTTTCAAATGTTTGAATACAATCCGCGTTTGCCGTGGTTCTTCGGTGCTTGTCTGTGAATACGAATCAAATTATACAAAAACAAAAAGAATTACAATAAAACTCAGTTTCGCGTGGTGCGCTTGGTCAAATGTCGCCATATTGTTAGGTGACTGCAGCAAAACAGTCGTGCGGTGATGTCATGGTGATGTCACGGTGCTGCTTTCAGAGAGACACGTGTACATGTTGGCATCGACAATCCCTTCACTCCTCAGGTGCGCACCTCAATAACCTCTGTCAATGTGTGTTGGGCAGGAGATTCCACAAGCACTGCCACCATTCACACTAGAGCATGCCCGCATTCGGTTGTCCAGCTTCCAAATGCATGCGCACATTCTCTCCTAGGGCAGCGCACTCCTGTTCCTGTAGGTGCAACCTCACGATAATCACTCTCCAGCCATTCGTCATTACTGGTCATCTGCTTGTTCCAAGTACCCTCCACCAGTCTGAGGATCCAGGCTAGCAAGAGACTTCACCAGCAGCAGCAGCAGCATACCCAAGAGGGGATGTGCAAGACCAACCACAGTTGCAAATCAATGATATCTGCTTTTTTTAAAGTAAAAAATGTTACTTAACGGACAACATTTTTTAAAAAATAATTATAATTACGGATGTATCTTGGTTATTGGCTCCAGGCACAGTCTCTTTCTTTCCCTTTGCATTGTCATCGTGTGTGTGTGTGTGTGTGTGCTCTGTGTGTGTGTGTGTCTGTCTGTCTGTATGTGTGTGCGCGCTCAGCTCTCAAAGCGAAGTTTGGTGATGCAATGTTTAACTGGATAGTTGTGTGTGCAAATGTAGTCGATGCACGCATGGTAAAAATCATGCCTCTTGCAAATGGCCAAGCATCACCATCATGTGTTTGGCTTTGACTTTCAAATCCTCTCTTATAAGTACGTTTTTTGCGCACATTGCCTGTACTCCTGGAAGTGCCACAGAGTCATGCGCCGTGTTTTCACAAGTCATTCCCTGCTTAGTTCCGCCATTGCACGTACCTGTGTTATATGACTGCTCCTAATCAAGAGAGAGGCAGGGACAGGTATACAGACCCGAAACCCGAAGAGAAAGCACTCGATGTGTCAAGGTCGAACAACAGATTTTACCTGTCGTTGGGTCATTCCTACAGGTGAATTTGGCTACATTGCAAGGGGACGCATGACGACTAATGATTTCAAGACGACCGATGCCGTCTTCAAGTCTCCAGGTGAGTAGCGTACTTATACTACCAGCCCGGGTGTGCATTGGGGGTTGATTTAGATGGCGTTGCCAGTTGTCTGGGTTAGGCAGTTGTCTGGCGCTAGTCTTGATCACTTTCATTCAACTCTTGTCGGCTACCGTTGCTATAAGAGAAAATCTATGGGTGTGTCTCCAATGCATTTGCAGATTTGCGTGTTTCTCTTGCGATGGGCGTATGCATGGTGCATGGTACATGTGTGTGTGTGGGGGGGGGGGGGGGGTGTGCGTGTGTGTGTGTGTGTTCGTGTGTTCGTATGCGTGTGTGTGTTTGTGTTTGTGTGTGTGTATGCGTGTGTATATGTCATGTTTGTGTGTGTATGTCGTGTTCGTGTGTGTGTGTATGCGTGTTCGTGTGTGTGTATGCGTGTTCGTGTGTGTGTATGCGTGATCGTGTGTATGCGTTTGTTCGCGCGCGTGTGTGTATGCGTTTGTTCATGTGTGTGTGTGTTCGTGTATATGTGTGTTTGTGTGTGTTCGTGTGTGTGTGTGTATGCGTATGTTACACGGTCACTTACAACATGCAGCAGGCGAGCCCTCTCCGAGCGGAGAAGTTCGGTTTGTAGAGACGGCCATGTCACACCGCTACTTCACCCACTCCAAACTGCTATCACCGCTGGCCATTTGCATGTACAAAGGCAAAATGCCGTTGATAGCATATCCGCCTTGTGCTCAGAACAACTTACTGGAGTACTTGCTGCACACTACCCATCAGCCTCCTAACCTGGCCACGGTTGTACCACAACTTGAAGAATCTGTAAGCACAACACAATACACAATACACTATACACAATACACTATAGTATAATGTACGTGTTCAAGCACAGTGCTGCTGGATGAAATCCAATCGCATGAGTCAAGTTTGTGTCCTGCGCTAGAGCGCAGTTCAGGGCTCACAGGTCTGGGGGCTGCACAGTGCCCGGAGTGACATTGACTCGCATGATTGGATTCGTTGAGCAGAACTGTGTGTCCCATGTGTGCATGCTATTGCGAACTGTGTGTTCCATGTGTGCATGCTATAGCAGAACTGTGTTTCCATGTGTGAATGCTATTGTGAACATGAACATGCTATGTGGATGCCAGTGCTTCATTCGGAGCTTCCAACTTACTGTTTGGCTTGAAATATCCATGTGTACCTTACATGGCCAGTATAAAACTCCGGACTTCCGCTTGTGTATGTTGAAAGTATACATATAGTGACACATGATACAATCCAAAACTGGTAAACCAGTATTAGCGCGGAAGGTTGTAGTAAGGTCACTGTTTTCGAACACAGTGTCCTCCTCCTTGTTTCATGCTGTCAATCTAACAAATGTATACACATGCAAGTGTGTGTGCGTGTGTGTGTACGTTGTGTGTATGTGTATGTGTGTGTGTGTGTGTGTGTGTGTGTGTGTGTGTGCATCCTTAGCTACGCTCTGCCGAGTACATCTCGTTTGCACTGGACATCTGCCAGGCCTTGATGTACCTCAAGACGCAGAACTTTATTCACGGCGACGTGGCGGCAAGGAACTGTGTGTAAGTAGTACTGTTGGTGATCCACAGTTCCAGGCTCATACACTCATTACCCTGTGTGAAGGACTGCTCATACACTCATTACCCTGTGTGAAGGACTGCTCATACACTCATTACCCTGTGTGAAGGACTGCTCATTCACTCATTACACTCTGTGAAGGACTATGTAATATGTCAGTGGGTTGCTGG